CTTCCACTTCGACTTCTTCCTCTACTTCCTCTTCCTCCTCGACTTCTTCCTCCACTTCGATTTCTTCTTCCTCCCCCTCGGAGGACGAATATATTTTGCGCCTGCGTGCCCGGGGCACTGGCACTTTCACGCAACTTTTTGCGGGGACATTTCGAATGGAACTCAAAGGGGCGCTACTGTCATTTCTGTCATTACGATAGGACGGCGTTGTGTCTACATCATAATTATACGAAGGCCCAAACCTTACAGACTTTTCCTTCTTTAACTGCTTACCACCATCTTTGCTTAGGTAATTAAATTTCTTTTCTCCCTTTTGATGTCCATCCCCTTTGCCACCCCTCCTACTAGGAATCAACTCACTTAAATTTTTATTCACAAAATATTTTTTTATAGGAGTGACTTTTTTGGAAGACTGTTCTTTTTTCTTGTCTTTTAAAAAAATATTCTTCAAAACGTTGGTTGCGTCTACGTACTTGTATTCATTTTTAAATATGAAATTTTTTGTGTGGCTGGTTACATTGTTCTCCTCATCTTTTTTTTTTTTATCAAACTTATTCATTCTTTAGGGTGTTGCGTGTGCGTGTGCATGTGTGTGGAAAGTCACCGCAGAGGAGGGAAGACACTAAACGGAGATGCACCCGTGCGGGAAAAACTACCAACTGGATGAGCAGTATATTTCAAGGCGCTAAATACACTGACTGCAAGGGATCCAAATTGGTACCCACATGAGAGTAAACGCATTACGAGCTCAAATCACTAGAAACAAATTTCGTACATAACAATTCAGAAGCGCGTTTTGATAGAAAAAAAAGAAAAAGACAGTAACACATAGGAAACCACGGGGAATTGAATTAAACGCAGCAGAACCTGGAGGGAATCGCAACGTAATGTGTATGTTATTCACAGCTGCCGTACAAACGGGGCGCAGTGCACGCACGTACATATGCGAAGCGGTAATGTAATTATAAGGGCAAACACGAGAATCGTTAAAAAAAAAAAAACAAAAAAAGACAAATAGTACACGCGCAAGGGATGTGCGTCGCACTGTTCCTACATACACAAATCTGTGCACGCGTGAGCGTGGAGAGGGACCAGAAACTCTGAACGATGTTTCAAAAAAAACTACTTGATGATGGAATATAATGACTGCTTCACAAAATTTAACATATCCTCCTCAGCGCTAGGCAGGAGGTGCTTATAGAGAAGCAAAACTTTGAAACCGAGCTTTTTAAATAGCTCATAGCGTTCGGAAAAATACGGAGTAAGAGTAAGGGTCCCCTGAAAAGTATCATTATTCCCTATACATTCTACAATTAAATTAAAGTCCTTTACAAAAATGGGCACACTATAGTTATACATATTTAGTACCTCTATTTGGCAATTTAATTTGAATAAAATTTCGCGGACTTCTTTTACAAAGGGGTAATCTAGGTGTCTACTTTTTCTTCCTACTGAACTTTGAAAGGACTGTAAAAAAGTCAACACTGAATTATCGAGACATTTTTCATCCAACCATGAGCAGAACTGGTTGAGAATAATCAGCTGCACCTCTTTTACAAAATACACATAGCTTAAGTAACTGGGGGTAGGGATACACATATCTGAACGAGGCAATATCAACCAATAGCGCAGCAAGTCATTTATAAAGGTTGTAAGGGCGGAGGATAATGCTTTATCCTGGTGCTCCTTTGCGACTTTTATCCTTAACAGATTTGGGATGATTTCGTACATGACCTTTTCCTCTTCCTTCTGATTAAATGTTAACACTTTGAGTCTTCTCACCAATTTATGAAGGTCCTTTTTTAAAATTATTCTGAAAAAATTGGTGCACTCTAAAATATCCGCTATTTCGTATAAACTGTAAAAATTAATGTTTCTGAAAATATGTTGACATATTAACCTTAACTTTTCGCAATCTCTATTTTGCATCCTCCTCAACCAAATAAGGTCTCTAAGTATTTTTCCATTACATTCTGCCTTGTGTCCTTTCGCGCGGGTATCACAGTGGGTCGTAATTTCATCACATTTATGCCCCTTTTCGTTACTACTCTCGTTTTCAGCGGATCTTCCATCAGAGCGTCTGATTAATTGGTTCTTCGTATAGACGCAGTAGCTTTCTTTTCTCTGCCAAAAAAGTATGCTTCCTCTTTTGCCCTCCAAAGGATCATACGTGACTGCGCCCAAGGATGGGTGGACAGGTCCATGCTTGTTGCTACCGCCAACGCGGATGCGCACCTTCACAGGAAAGGAACAAGTAGAAAAAGGAAATATGTGTGCAATGTCAAACTAAGCAAATGTGCAATTGAGCTACTTAATCGATACGTGCGAGAACACCAAATGATGGAGGTGTCACATCAGTCATGTGGCTGCTTCCATTTGTGAATGTATACATTTGCACCATTTCGTGGTTTAAAAAAAAAAAACACTTACCACCATGCGCATGGGTAAAAATTTACTCTGCAGAGGTACGTTTCTACAAATTACTCTCATCTTATCAATTTTAGGAACATTCCTTTCGGGCAAAAAAAGCAACCTCCTCAGGTGACTAACCACAAGTGTTCATGTTCATCTGCCCTTAATGCAGTTCAAACATATGTAGTACAGATTAGGTATACATTTTCTGGCACATCAACCAGGTCTGTGAAGTTATACATTCATTTTCCTTTTTTTTTTTTTTTTTTTTTTTTCCAACTTCATAGAGATTTTTACTTTTTTTATTGAAATTTTAAAAACTTCCTTTTTAGAACCATTTTAAACACTGGGTAGGAAAAAATATGGTTTCAACGCCGTCTCCGTTTGTGCATACATGAAGGGTGCGGATCAGCATTGAATGGGCCACACCCTTGACACGTCCATTCGTTTTCATATCCTCCATTTAATTTTACTTTATTTTAATGCAATTTATTTTTTTTTTCTTTATGCCCTTTCTTCTGTGTTTATCCCAAAGGGGCTTACTAAAAATACACGGCAGAGAGCCAATTGTAATCTTCCCACTTTTTAAGAACAAAACACACGCATGAGATGAAGCAAACCCGTGGGGGAACACACAGAACTTAGCAGACCACACAAACGTATACACCAGCACACAAATGATTACATATTATGCGTTTGAACCCCTCATGCTTCTTACACTTGGAGACAAACAATGAACCTTTATTTTACGCCTTTCTTGTTTCTCCTCCTTTGTAACGCATACTTAATTATAGGGGTAAATTTAAAAAGAAAATGCATCTCTTTATTCTTAAGTTATAATTTGAATAGTGCACATAAGAACAACCACCATAACCCTCTGTTTTGTTACAAAAAAAGGATAAAAGCGAAGGAACTTAGGAAGTTGTCAACCGAGGAGCTTGAGAAGGTACATAGTCTGAAATTTGTTCTATTCTGACAAGTGCTATAGGGCAAGGTGCATCTTCACCTTTTCCTATGTCACTGTATATACATAGGGCTCCTACGTGGGACAGCACCTGTGCATTCATAATATATATTCCCCCTTGAAGGAGCTTTCACATGTGCTCAAAAAGGGGACATAACTGAAGACGCCCCAAATGTGCCTTTAACCGCTTCACCACCAACACCGCAATACCATTTTTGTTACTCCCCGGCAGGAAATCATCAAGTGCAGACTGGACATACAAAAGTTCCAACACCAGGGGTTTCACGATATACATAACTATAACGTACATTACGAGAAAAATGCCAGAAGGAAATTAGCGCAGCTGCTGACCATATACTATGAGAGGTACCTTGATAAGAACGTTAGGATAAAAAGTAACTCTTCTGAAGGAGCAGACGTCAGTTCGGTACCACCTCCACAGGGGGACGAAGAAGCAAAAGGGGCCAAGTAGTCACGAAGAGTGTACAGCCAATATAGGTAGTGAAACGAAAACCATGACTCTAGGGAAAGAAAACGCGGGAAATTTATGACCCGTTTTATTTTCTTAAAATGTTTGTTTTATATTTGACTTACGTGTGAACAATTTATTGTCGAACGTTTGTGCCTTATGAGAAAAAGGCCCCATTTGACGAACCATTCTGGCAGCGCCCGTTTTTTACAGGCTTACATGAGTCTAAGCCTATATTTGGGTTTGCATAATGTTGGGGCACATATATACATATAAAATGTATAACGTACTTTTCCGTATGTTCAAGAATCTGTTCGACCTGAAAAAGTTTTTGCCTCGTTTTTATTGCCTTAACTTTTTTTGTAAATTTGATCGAAATAGATTAAATTCATTTACGTTAATTCGTAAATAACGTATGATTTTTGTGCACTTGTGGAGGCGCGCATTTTGGCGCATAAGCATATATGTATACGAATATATATTACCCGTATATGTATTTTTTTTTTTACCCCCCACGGGAATGTAACATAATATTCTTTTTCTTTCCACCCATTTTTACAAACAGAGTATTTTTTCCTGTACGCAAAAAAACATGTTACATATATTTGGCATGTATTTCATGTACAAAGCGTTTTGACCCATTTTGTAGGGGCCACGTTGTAGTTTTTTTTTTTTTTTTTCTAAACCACAGAATAGTCGTTACTTTCACGCGGTGGCGAAGAACTGTTTCAAAACTTCTCAACCACCTGTCAATTATTTGGCAGAACATTTCTTAGCCCATATTTTTATGTGCTTCTATTTTTTTATCATAAATAGTTAAAAAAGAACAAGCGGCATGGCTCCATACGCGGGCAACTACTTATATTAATCTGCTCGTTGTTATAGGAGAATCGTTTGGACTTTCTCTCTGCGTGAGAACGTGTAGGACTTGTAAAAGTCGGTCTTCCGTGCATGTCAACTCATCCCCTTTTGAATAATTTTGAAAAATTGTAAAAAATGAAGAAGTCTTTGAAGAATATCAAATTGAAATTAAGGAACAAAAAGAGGAAGGGAAACTTCGTCTCCTTCTACGACAGAATAAAAGAAATTAATGAGAAAGAGAAGCTGCAGGCATGTAGCGTACTCGGAGGCGCGAACTACGAAGACGGTGTTATTTCACAGTGGATAAGTCACGAATCTAAGGATGCCGAAGGTGAGCAAGCAATGGGAAATTCACCCCGCGCATGCATGTCTGTGAGGTTGTATATATGAGCAGTGGTATATACATCAACGTCTACACCCATGTGCGCGTCACCAGTGAAAGATGCACTGTGTTGCTGTGTTTCCATCGCAGCACACGGTCAACGGCAACGATGAAAAGCACGCGCAACCCCTTTCCCCCATACATAACTGTTGCGCTGTAGTAGGTTTTGCTTACTCGTCTTATCCATATTGCCTTATTATATTTTTTTTTTTCCCTGCACCCCTTTCTTATAGACCTAAGAAGAACGAACTTTTACGCAGCGTTACAGGTGTACCCGCAAAACTGCTTCAACAGTGACTTCAAAAAATGCTGCAGAGAACTACAGCCGTATTCGAAAAATCTAATGCTCATTTTGCTAAACAAAGACAAAATTTTTGGCACCATTTTCAAGTACATACAGAATAGCAAAATCCAAAATGACGAAAATTATTTTTATAAATTATTGGTGATTCTCATAAAGGATTTAAAAGATGAAAGCAAAAAATACATAGATCATATTTTAAAAATATTGTACGATAAAATTAATTTCAACAATCTGGACCTTTTGGAGGAAATATTTAATACCTATGCAAATATATTTCGAATAATGAATAGAAAAATCATAAGTAACGTTGATAAGTATATAAAAATATCTCTACCCCTGTTACAGCATCGAAATAGTATTGTAAAAATTTTCATTGCGGATAGTTTTTCCTACCTCTTGAGGAAATTATCCCTACACGATTTAATAGAGTGTTTTCAAAAGTTATTTTCCTTTTCCGATTGTGTGAAAAGGAACAAAGTCAGAGATTATTGTGACACGGTGAGCCTCCTCATGTTGGAAGCTCTAAAAGTAGACAAAGACAAATTGTCCAGAAAAACTTTGCCATTTTTGAAGTTTATAATTTATTCACTATTTCTGAACGAGACATATTATTGTGAGGAGACCGATAATCATTATGAACCAATTGAGGACACGCACTATATGCACTTTTTAAAAAAGGCAGTTGCGAGTTTCCTCATTGATATTTATAATTTTACGAAAAATGGGACATTCGAATTTGTGGAAATATTTCTAACCTTCATTTTGAGAAACTACTCCATCCTGTTTAGAAGATACTACAACGATGTGTTAGTTCAGTCGGACCAAAGTACACATGCGTTGCATTTGCTGATCAGTCAAAGGGGCCCAAAAGGGGTCTCCTCAATTTTTCCCTCTTCAGCCAACGCGGAGGGGTATAGTAGTGGGGTATTAGCTAATGCACATTATTTGCAAGGAGAGCATGACGCCGAAGTGGAGGCTTCTCCACTGAGCTATGTTCCGGATGGAGCACCAGGCGGCAGCTCCAAACTTCGAAACAGAACCAGCAACTACAACGACCAGCTTAGTTCTGATCACCCACACTTATGTAACAACCAAGCACAATCCTCCGAAACGGACAGGAAGGCCTTTTTTGCCAAAGAAATTTTTCACAGCTGTACAGACTTTTTTCTGAAAAAAATATTAAGCATATGGATAGACAAAAACAGCAAACAGAAATGTATAATTGTAGAAACCGCGCTTCGTGAACTCAGTAAATACGCTCAAGATGTGAATCGTTTGGAGTTAAATTATGTCTCCTTTTTTTATATATGGAATATCTACGACCACGTGTTTTTTTTACTAAATCGGGATGTGGTTTCGAATGAAGGCATAAAAAATATGTTCATCTCCCTCATCAAGGTGTTTATGAGCATCGTGACTGCACAGCACTGCAATGATGTAAGTAGCCACCACCCTCTTCGAGACTCCCTTTATCGCCGTTTCATTCTCAACGTGGATGAACTGTTAGGCAGAAAAAATCACAGCAGCGGAGATTCACACCTGAACGATATTCTGGAGTGTATATTTGTCAACATAGCGAGACATGTACAACAGGATGATATATTTATGCGTGTGAAGGAGTGCCACATGGTGGACGGACTGAAGGAGGGAACTGGCCAAAACCACTTTCCCGAAAAGGAAAATATGTCTAAACAAATTGACCCCTACAACAGCTCCGATGAGGGTGCTAATCTACATTTGGGAAAAATATCCCTCCTGTTTGACATTTTGAAGAGCACAACAGGAGGGGAGAGTAGCACCGCGGAAGATTCCCCAACACAAATGCAAACAGAGCTTCATAATTTATTTTCCACCACCTTTGAAAAAGTAAAAAACATACTTGCAATTTTGAAGCGAATTAATGAGTGTGCCAATGTGAACAGTTCAACGCACGTCGAAAACGGGGAAGAGGTTCTAAACGAACCCCAGAAAAATCTCCAAACAATAGTACAGTTTTTATTTGCATACGTCAGCCTACTATCAGAGATAAGCAGAACCGATGAGACCATACTACTTCTATGCACAAAAGGAAGTGCTAAGAAAAATGAGGAGGACAATTTTTTTACTATATTTGGAGAAATATGTGACAGGGTGGAAAAACTAAAAAGTAGGCATTCCATAGGAAGGAGACTTCACAAGGAGAACTCCTCTCCCGATATGAATTTTTACCTGAACAACATCATACTCGATGGAAATGTTATGATGACAAGGTTGGCGAAGACAATGTGTGAACAGAGCGAAGTAATGGAAAACGTCGTTCCAAGCAACAACAAGTTTTTACTCAACTGTTTAAGCAAGTGGGATAAAGACGAGGTGTGTGGTGTGGACTACCTGAAAAAAATAAAAAATATAATTACCAACTTGAACGAAATGAACTACTTTGCACACAAAACGGATGACTTATATGCATATTTAAAGGCCCTTAAAAAGTTGTTTCTCTGTTACGATAACGCAAATAGGAAAGAGTTCCTTCAAATTATCCAATTCGTAATAAGCATATGTATAGTACTCAGACGGGACAAAGGAAATTATTGTACTACAAATGAGCACAACATCGCATCAGGGGAGAGTAATAGTAACCCTGCTTGCTACTCCAAACTGTTGCCCCTTTTTGACTGTCTCATTTATTTAGAAAATGAAGAATACTTAGCTACGTACGAAAAGATTTATGAATCCAAAATTATTGATGTAGTAAATTATTTGACCTTTTTTAAAAGCTCCAACATTTTTAGCGATTACTTGATGAAGGTGGCCACAAAAATTTGTATTGTAGAATTGGTTTTTCTGTTAAGTGCTAGCTTGGTAAGTATCCCCAAGGCAATTACTGTTCACGTGAAAAACTTCCTGCGCTCGTACAGCATAGACAAACAAATGGACGACGAAGAGAGTTGTACCCACCAGATGGAATACTATTTTTTTGTACTAAACGAGGTATTCAAAATGGGTCAGGCAAAGCTGCTCATGGTGGAGGGGGAAGTGGGTAGAAAAACTACTCCAGATGAAGATTCCTGGAGTGACAACTGTGAGAAAGAGAACACTGCAGATGACAATGCGGAACGTTTTGTGGATGAGGTGGACGGAAGAGAGGATCACAGTGGGAGTGACGCGCGTCTCCACTGCTCTGCCCCGCTTGGAAACCTCATTTGGCAGAACATAGAAGAGTGTGAAATTACTATGCGACAATATGTGCTCACACAGAGGAGCAATCCATCGTCCACTGTTGAAGGAAGAAAATATGTAAATGCTGAAAATGCCCTCAAAATTGCATTCTCCGCCATCCATATGGTGATCGTGCCTCAAATGAATAGCCTTAACAAATCGTACAGAGCGAAACTGCGAGACATGTACGTTTGGATAATGAGCTATATTAATAGCAATTTCAGGCCCTTCGTCCAGGAGTTAAAATATTACTCTCTTCTGAATGTGGTGTTTGACATTGTTGGGAGTTTGAATGAGTTGTGTCGTGGGCATGGGGGCGCTTCCCTATCTGTCACATCTACGCAGCCACAAGTTGAGCAAATCATCCGCGCCGTAAAAATCTTCGTAAGCAAATTTGCGTACAGCATGCACATTTTGAGCATCCCCAACATGATCAAATTTTTGCATATACTGTGCTCGTACAACCGGAAATTAAATAACTACAAAAATGATATTGAGGAAGTGCTACTGGAGAAGAACATCAACATTACCAAATTACTACTGAACATAAAAGAGGAAGACAGCAGCGGGATTATGCCGATGTTGATAAAAATCATTTTCTGCATTTTAAAAAATAAAATGAAAAAAGGAAATAAAAAATTGAAGAAAAATATGATTTTTTACCTGTCCAACATTTCTTGTGACAATTACTGCCACATCCTTATATCCGTAGTGTACCCCCTGGTGAATGTATACGAGGGATCAATTGACTATGGAAACTTAGTCAGATACGGAGACAAGGAGAGGGTGTTGGTCAGTTTCCTCACCAATTGTCAGGGGAACTTTGGAGCGCACTGGATATACCAATGTGATACGCGGACGGTCAGTTCAGCCATTGCAGCGGCGAGTGCAGTCGATGGGGAAGAAATTTCCCTCTACTACGACGACACCTTTAATCACTCCAGTTGGCAATTTGGCAACCATATAATTGAAATAAAAAAAGACGCGCTGTTCAAAAACTTCCACTTCAACAAAAGCTTTAATCTTTTTATCGAGATACTGAAGATCATGAAGTACAAGCTGGACACCTACATGGAGTTTTTCTTCCATGTCTTTGTCACCATAGCTCACTACATCAATGTGTACCACTTGATGAAAAAGAAGGCCAAGGATAGGAGGATTTTGCTGGTGGTAAAGAAGATGGAGAGTCGAGACAAATGTGGAAGCCACGAGGAGGGGGAGGTGCCCCACATAGTTAGTAGCCCCGGCAAGAGTGAGTACGAGGACCAGGCGAAAGATCACCACCAAAAGATTGATCAAGAGCATGACCGTGACCTTGCCGCCCCCCGCGAACACAGTTTCGAACTCAGCGTCAAGGGCTCCTATCTGAAGAACGCCAACAAGAAGTGCATCGAGAACATCCAGTTCATCATGCTAAACTACGAAATGACAAATTGCAATTTGGAGAAGGCCAAAGATTTCTTCGCCTCCCTGTTCCGTAAAAATGTCAAGAACATAGGCAAACCAAATTTGTTCCTGAAAATTTTGTTTGACATTTGGAGCAAGAACGAATCGTATCACCGGTTCTACGATAGCATCATACCTAACTCATTATCCGTTTTAATAAAAGCTGTAAACAACCAAATAATTGTTAGCCGATTAAGCTACCATGAATGGAACGCACTCACGGAGAAGGTGTTCGACGTCGTTTTGCGCCTGTGTGGTTATGACCATTTGAATGAGAATGAAGTGAATTGGCGTAAAGGAGAAGCCCCCATAAAGGAACAGGAGCGCATGCGGGCGAGAGGCAAAAATAGGGGAGTACTGACCATAGTGGAAAAGAGAAAACGCTCTGATGTGTCTCCTTCGAATGGCATGAAGATATTGAAGCCGCTCATTCCAGACATTATCATATGCATCAAGAAAACCATTTTAAGAAGGTACAAACAATTCCTTGTAGAAAAGGAAGCGGGAACTGCACTGCGCAAAAAAAGAAAAACGGATGAATTAAAAATTATTAGCAATAAAGAACTATACATTCTAATTGAATTATCTGCAGTGAACAAAAACCAGACGTACAATTTGCACGTCATTAATATAATTATCACCTTCGTGCTTATGAATACCAGATCTCTGCATAGTACAAATTCTGACCACGTGCACAAGCTGAAACTTATATTGGTAGCTTTGAAGAGGTTACTCATAAATATATCAAGTGGGAAAAATGAGTACCCAAAGTGGAGGGGCAAAAAGAAATCCAATTGCAATTTGTCTTGCTATCAGGTAGCGCTCAGGAACACTACACTTAGATGTGCTAATATATCCCATACAGAAAACGTACAAGACAAAATACGTGCGAGAAAAAGAAGCGTACACTCATACCACCATGCTCAAAAATTGTACGTATGCTACAAAATAAAAACCATGGTGTACGAAATTGTCCAGAGATGCTATGACATAAGTTGTAGAGTCCTCGCTGGGGATCTCCTAATTATGATTGGTTGCATTTTTCTAAAAATTAGAAACATAAATAGATATTTAGAAAAGTTTAAAAAAAATATGGACACCTTTTTAAAAAAAACGAACGAACTTAATTATAACTCCAGAGTAGTCCTAAAGCAGATCGTGAAAATTCCTTTAAAAAATGATCAGGCCAGGAGACAGAATTATTATTACACCTTCCTTCAGATTGCCCAGATATTTTGCGGCCTTAACATTTGCAATGAGAACAGCTCCCAGCATGAATACGACGCGGATGTACAGTTTTTAATTTTCCTCGATTTGTGTAATGTGAAAATGTCTACCGTTATGAAGAGTTATACGCTGGGAGGGGACGAGTACCCAATGGGAAGCCACAACAATGGAGAGCTACACAAGGGGAAGAACAGGAAGACCGAGGGGGTGACACCCGACGGGATGACAACCCACGGGACGAAGACGCCTCGGAAATTTACCTTTGATCACCTTTTTTCAAATAGCAACAAGTTGCTCCTTGAAATCCTCGTGAGACATTGCTCCTTTTTAATTTTTAACGAAACGGCCAATGATATGGTTAGGGACAAATCCGTGCAGTTCATATTGTTCTTCCCGAAATTCTTGAAATGGCTACTGCAGGCATATGAAAGGAGCGATGAAAATGTGAATCACCTGAATATCTCGCGAGACGTCAAAATATGTGTCCACTTCGTACTCAACATTATAATACCCAAAGCGCTCAATGCACTAAAAAAGAACGTTAACGATTTTACCAAAATAGCGCTACACATTATCTTCACAACCATTAAGCTAGTTAACCCCCACATGGAAGCACTCAAACGATTAGATGTCGAACCCTTTTTAAGGAAGGTTAAGAATTCTCTAGTAAAAAATTATGTACTCAATACAGACACACATTCTTTGTTCTGCTTTAGCGCCGTAAAGGTGAAGAAGAATGAGCAGAGGATCCTTTCCGAACAGGAAAAGACCAACTTCAAAATTTTGGAAAAGCTGCTATTTCACGATTTACATCACAACGTAGTTGGAACTGTGCATGAAAGTACGTCTCATCAGAAGGGAAGGAAAAATGAAGAAAATAATAAGCGTATATCCATAATTGAAAATATTATAGACCTTAAATCAGAAAACAACTCCAAAGGTGTGGACAAATTAGTGGCCATTACCCCCCTATTATGGTACTATACCATTTCTAAAATTGTAATCCCACTTGCACTGAATTACATCCTTCAAACCAGTTCAAAAAAAGAAACATATAACAAAACTCTCAGCGCAAATAGTATCAAGTTGCTTGGAACGTGCACCGAGAGGGTGGGTGTCAAAGTTGTTTACAACCTCCTAGAGTTGCTTCTTTCAGAGTTGAAGAAAAACTCATTTAATAAGGTATACATCGAAAAGGCAGTAAGTCACATTGTGAGGACGTACGATTTTAGGGAGTTCCAGGGCATTCAATTGGAGCAGAATGTGGCCCGCCCAGGGGGAGCAGCCTCGGATGGATTTAAAAATGAGGAAGAAATAATCCCCGCCTCAGAGCACAGCGAAAGGATTGAACTGGGGGGAATTAAGGAGATAGAACCTGCAGAAGAAGAGCAGCTTGTGGACACCGTACCAGAAGGGGACGCACCTGTAGAGGCCAAACCGACGGGGCGGTCTAGTCCGAGCCCGCTCTGCCACAAGTTCATCCGGCGCATACTGCCGCAGCTAAAGCTACTAATGTTTGACAAATTAGCAATGAAAGACAAGAAAAAAGAAAAGAGCTACATAAATGACCAAGTCGTTGACTACAAAAATAAAGAGGCAGTGGCCAAGGCAGACATCATCATATCATTTTTAGTAATCCTAAACAAAATGAATTACAATTTTGAGAAAGAGTTACACAAAATAATATACAGATTATGTTCCTGCTTGTCGTCCAAAAATAACAATGTAAGAAGTGAATCGAAGAAGACCATGTGTTATATTTCCATGTACCTCGGTTTGAGCTACTTCGATTTGATCATAAAGCAAATGTCGGATTACCTGACCAAGGGGTATCACGTACCGATATTTTTGTGCACAGTTAACTCCATTCTGGAATCTGTGCTAAAAAAGAAGGACAAATTTTTAGACAACAATTACTTAACAATTGGCATTAACGCTGTAAGGGATGGAAATATCAAGAGATCCAAGAGAAAACAATCCGATCGGTTCAGCGGAAATAGCGCCACCCCACATGACGCCTTCTGCAACAACATCTTTAACATGATCAAGCTAGAAATAATAAACGAAATTGACAAAAATACGGAAGATGTTAACAAGAAGCATATAAAAAGAAAAACGAAGGAAGGCAAAAAGACCTATGGAAGGAATATCATTAAACTGTTAACAAATATAGTACCTGAAAAATGCATCGAAAATAATATCCTCACATTTTTAGAAAGCTTATTTAGTGGAGAATCTTTCGAAAATAACGAAGTGGATAAAAATTTTATTTTTAAAAAAAAATACATTTTTATTGTATCTTCTTACTTCAACAATTTTGTAAAAGGAATAGAAGAGAACAGAGGTCTATCCCCCCATTTTGTCCTAAACATTATTTACAAACTGTTAACAAAGTCGGTGTATTTTTTCAGAGGTGATGATTATCAAAATTTACGCAGTGTTATGCAAAATTGCGCCATTCTACTTTTTAAATACAACGTCTCTGACCAAGAAGTGCATACCTTTGGCAACTTCAAAAAGGGTATGCAGTTTTTTGTGCCCCAAGAAGCAATGGAAGAGAGATACTTGGGAATTAATTACCAACAGAAATGTGTACATTACCCTTCCAAGGGGAACAACAATATGCATATAATACAGGGGTCATTTCAGGAGAAAAGCATTTATGATGCTATTGGAACGACGAAGAAATTTGATTTCCAAGTCATTGCACAAGTGTTGGCTAGGGGTGCCCTCAAGTTATTAGCTTACGTGGTTAAGCGCTCTTCAGAATTGTTCGCGGAGGAGAGAAGGTTAAGAAGTAATGATGGAGATGGTCTCATAACTGATGCTAATAACAACATGGATCGTACTGTCCAAGGTGAGAAGTACCCTGTCGGAGCGATCAAAGAAACGCTAACTTGCAACTCCGCGTCCACCACCGTAGATGATAGATCGCTTAGCGAAAATGAAAACGCTCAGAAGGGGCGACTCACCCCTATTAGTAATAACAAGGGAAGCGCCGCAGAGGCAGTCGTCACCTCCGTGGGGCACAGAACTTCTAATACAGAAATAAACCATAATGATGGGGGCTCCTTTTCAAGCTTCCCCGAATTTATATGCCGCATTGAACCGCTCCTCGTGTACTTTTTCTGCTACGGAAAGGAAGACGTATTTGTGTTGGCCTCCAAGTGTATCAAAATTATTAAAAAAAAGAAATTTAGCGATTTTAGAAAGTTTGGAAAATTAATTATTCTCTCATCCGTAGACATACTAAAAAATATTCCCAATTATTACAGCAAAGAATTTGACAAGCTCATTCTGTCATGCATTGACACGTTGACATATCTCATACGAGGCAATAACAAAAATGACATTATATCTTGGCTGAATTCGGATCTATCCAGTCGCGGAAAACCTAGTGGTAGTGTTGATGAACCTACAAATGACGACACCGTTTCGAAGAAAAAGAGAAGACTGGAAGAGGCCACAAAGAGAACTAATCACAATGACTCGATTGGGAACACAGCCAAGTTAAAGAAACAAAAAAAGCTGAATTATTTGCTGGACGAAAAGGTCTTATCTTTGTATTATCCAACCCTAGCGGGGGGAGAACATTTGCAGGAGGAACAAGAAGAATCGACCAACTCTCTACGATACTGCTTAATTAACCAGATTTCCATGCTACTAGAAAGTAAGAACCATGTGTGGGAGTTGCTAATATTATTTAAAAACTGTATGCTAAGGGAAGACATAAATAACATCATCAGGAAGGGGTCGATTATCCTAAAAATGAACAGCTGCATTGATCAAATCTTCACCATCATGATAGCAGAGTCTCATAACTTGAAATTGTCATTTCTGTGTGGACAAATTTATGTCGATTTTTTGATGCGCTTTCCTATATCAAAGAAGGAAAAGAAAAAAAAGTTTTTCCAAATTTTAAATAATTTAAATGATGAAAATGACGACTCCAGAATTGCCATTTTGAATGCTCTCTACGTCTTCCTCAATAGAGCTAACGCCAAGTTATTAAAGGAGGAATTTTATTACGTTATTTTCGCAAGCATCATAGTGCATTTTACTAATGAAACAAATTACAAGTGCAAGAAGATGTATATTTTTCTGACCACATTACTATTTCAACAAGTGAACGATTTGACATACATTTTTAATTCATATAAAATATTAAAGCGCAACTTATTCTTTTGCGAAAAGGCATCTTTCACGTATACCTACTTATATTTGCTTCCTCTTTTCTCATCCATGTTTTCCGAGCGGATTGATTCATATGGACAGATGATTCAGGGTGATGAGAAGCTAGAGCAGGATGAGCGGAGTTCAGTGTCGAAGGAGGACCAAAAATGCAGGCGAGACAGAATATTGCAGCTAACGTTTCAGGGGAGTGATGATGGGTCGACGGAACATTACGAAAACTGGGAATCTAGTGCATGTCGCCAAGATGAACCTAATGTGGATACCTCCCTTGAGGAAGACACCCCGATCGAGGGACACAAGACCATTAGAAATTATTTCATAAAAGAACTATTAAAAAGCACAAAAAAAAAGCACAATACCATGAAAAACCCAAATGGAAGCAACAGTGTAGTTGTGACCGCTCCCCCCAGTGACATCATCCTTTTTATGAAAAACCAACTAGAAGATTTGTTCTTGTCGGTCATGTTTTATCTAATCGATAAGACATGCGCTGATGTGAAGGCGTTCATGAAGGAGGACAAACTATCTCTTCAAGTAGTAACCTCTGCGCAAAACATTACCCATTTTAGTGGCAACTATAAGATATACGCAACGATGGATCAGGATTTAGTATACCTCTTTTACAAGTCACTAGAGCAAATTTTTACCCATATGGATTTAGACTTGATAGAAGATCTGGTGCAGGAAAAACACGTACACAAAATGTACAAGCGATACTTTTTAAAGGAAGACCAACTAGAGTATCACAACGGACAGTGTACAGCGGATGGGGAACAGGAACCAAACGAAACAGCAAACGAAGATACAATCCATGACAAATTAATTTTGTACTTCCTATACTTTTGGAATTTGATCATTGAAAATGGACTGTTCAATAAAAACCCATATGTGCAAATCATATCGTGGAAGATGATGCTAAATTATATAAGTAACAAAATGGCACATCCGTATTTTCCTCTCCTATTGGTCAAGTTGTTTTCCTCAGATAAATTTATTATCAACCTGATTTTAAAGAAAGTTCTTTCTCTCCTCTTAAATTCATACTTTCTCGAACATTTCTACATATATCATAAAGAAATTAGTGTTTTGCTCTCCAAGATTTGCGTGCTGTTGGTTAACTTCCCGTGGATTACCAACGGGTTTGATGACCAAAGTGGTAACGAAGGAGTAGCTTGTGATAGGTACTGTGTGGGAAATCGCAACCAAGTAAAAAGGCAGTGTGATTCATCTTGTGGTAAAGAGACCCAGTATGCACATCTCAACGGTGCTTCAAATATCATTGCCCAGGAGACATCCATGGAGGAAAACCAAATGGACAACCAATTTAGCGGTTCAAGTGATGTCGAAGGAGACGAAGAATTCAAAAAAGTAAACAAAATTTTGCAGAATGAACAAGATAAAAATATTTCTTACGATCGGGTGGGAACTTTAATGATGACAAATTTAAAAATAAACAAGGAAATGTTGTCCTACAGCAAATTCTTCCTAGTGATGGTTACCCTTTCACGTGCCATCAACATCCATTTGATAAACAAGAAAAAATCTTTTGTGAGAATTCTAACAATTTTAAATACGTACAAAAGTATAATTCATGATTTCCCCCAAGATCTCTGGGCTCTCGAGAATGAGATAATTAACATCGTGCTCCCATCGTTATACAAAGTAGCTTCCATATTTAAAAAGAAGTAAGTTTCTTCGCGCACACACTGCGTGTACATCTAGTACGCATCACATGTGAACGTTACTCGTGGTGTGTCCCAATTCCTACGTGAACAACGTCTTTGTGAATGAATTATGGCCACTCGAGTGATGATCCTTCTCTGTACTCTTATGTACTGCTCAAAAGTGCCATTTTTTTCATTTCCAACCCCCTTTTTTTTTTTTTTTTTTTTTTTGCAGATATTTTGTCGAGGATGAAAAGATTTTCGAAGAAGAGAACACATACAACAAGCTCCTTTACCTATCGAGCTACGCGTGGGACATTATTTCTCTTCTGGAGGAAAAACTGCAAAATAATAGGAGCACTTTTAATAAAGCCTTCATTCAAGCGAGACAGGTACATTTAAAAAGAACAATTGTGCTTTTTTTTTCTTTTTTTCCTATACGCATTTATGTATGTAACAATTTTATGGTTCACCCAATGCGAAAGTCTTCAAAATTTATCGCATGCGCAGTGTACATGCATTACATGTGTACCCACTTTTTTTTTTTTTTTTTTTTACTCCCCCCCCCTGCAGAGGATCAACCGAATTAGGTTTATCAAAAAAAAGAAGAAGAATTTGTTAGCCTTGAAAAATCCCAAATTGTTTACCCTAAATAAGTTAAAAAGGAGGGAGAATAAAAAAATGCAAAAGAAGAAAATGAAAATCAACCTTTAGAACAAGTCTACATTGGGAGGAGGCTTCTTCACAGGACCTCAACCTGCGCGCGTGTGTACATGTGTAAATGTATTTTTTTTTCGTCCATGACAAATGTTTTACCTGCATAGCTGCTTCCTTCATTTTAACAGTAGAAACACTTATTTTCTTAACTAAGACAAAATTAAAATGAAAAATTGAAGGGACGGCCCCCCCGCTGACCCGTTCGCTATGTCAAGCGTACTCACATTTAGAGGTTACGAAACGAAATTGGGCAGGTTGTCTACACATTTGCGCATTTGCACGTGTATAAGCGCACCACGCGAATAAGCTTGTTCCCTAAAAGGGTCTTCAAAAAAATGTTCATCATAAAAGTTGAGTTAAAAAAAAAAAAAAGGATGCACTTAATTGGGCCCAAATTAACACTCACATGTTTGAAAAAAAAAAGGATAACTAAAAGAATGAACATGGGTTGCAACCACCCCGGAATGGATAAAATGAAAATTGGCATTTCTTGTGTCTTATTTATGCATACTTCTACCTGATCCTTTTGAGAGAAAAAAAAAAAAAAAAAAAAAAATAGAAATGGGGCAGATCGTCTACCAAAATAATCATACGTATTACAAATCAATAAGGGATAAATAGCTTATTACGACAATTTCCCATCTGTTGTTTGTTTACTTTTTGAGGGTGTAGAAAATATATACTTCTACAATCTGTCCATGATTACACATGTCAAAATGTTTGGTTCGTTTTTCTTTTCTTCCTTCTTCCTTTCATTTTTTCTATTTTTCTTTTTAAATTTTGTTATTGTATTTTTATATTTTTTTTACCACCTGTATTTATCAAAGAAAAAATAAAAAGCACATTTGTGCATTTCCATGGATCCCACCACATGTTGTTGTGCGAAGGTGGAATCCTGGGGGGTGATGTGAACTCTTAATAATGTTACACGTTATTTAATTTTATGGGAAAGTACAGCCCAATTTTTTTTTTTTCTTTTTTTTTTCCTTGTCTTGTCGAATTTTTATTGCTTATAAATTTTCAAATTATGTACTCTTACAAATGGTGGAAGTGAAAAGGTTCCTTTCTAGCGTTTCGCTAAGGATGCTAATTTTTTTTTTTTATTATTTCTTTTTGTTCTTTGTCCTCACCCCGGACACTACTACAGAAAGGATTCAACAAGTTTGTGGAAGCCCTGGTTATAGTCTTAACACCGGTTTTTGCGTGGCAGATAGTTCAACCAGGTGGTGTGCAAGTTGCGCTCTGCATTTTTCACCAGGTAGAAAAATATTAAGCGCTTCAAATTTTTTCCACCATAATGAATTTATTAAAAGGGAAATTTGCCACTTTGTAGAGAACCTTACGTATGATCAATGGTAAGACACTTCATTTGCTTTACAAAGCAGGATAACCTGGCATGTTACAACGGTTCGCATTATGTGATCATCTCCCGAAGCCCTTGTTAACCAAAATAAATATGCCACAAGGGAACTTATCGCTCCTGCAAATTGTAGGGGGGGACATTTCGACAGGGGCACATTTATTCTCTTGTCTAGCCTTCCACCGCATCTTCTTATGACCATGGGCGCAGCAAAATTGGAATCAACACAGACACATACACAAATGTGCATATATGTATGTACTGATATATGTGCGTCATTCTGTCCCCTTTTTTTGCAGGTGCAGCCAACCCAATCTGACGCAGCAATACACACGGACCGACGTGACACGTGTAGGAGCAAATCTTCTGCAAAATAAATTAAAGGAAAATCTGCTCTTGCGCACCGCGAGTGGGAAAATTTTGCAGGTACGGCAAGGATGTATAAAATGGGTACTCTGTCCTTTCTACAACCAGGGGACGTGGACACATGCGTCCCTACGCATAAGCGATGTTCGCATTATTCCGATCGCGTTTCCTCAAATGTAGCCTATTCCAAATGACGTAAATGTAATCCTTTTTTTGTTCAGGGATGCGCTGGAACAGCCACGCGGAGCCTACTCATCGAAGGAAGAGGGGTCGCCAGGATTGCACCTACGAAGGAGCAAAGCCAAGGGCATGAAGAAAAAAGTGAAGATAAAAATTATAATAGTACTGGTAATAGTAGCAGTAGTAGTCATGTTGTAACGGCGAGGTGGTTCTTATCCCCGCTCAGAGCTAAGGAAAGGACCCCTTTAATTACATTCGGTGAGAGAAACAGACAAATACTACCAGGAGCATCACTCTTAAGCAGGCCATCCTCAATTTCTCGAAGAGAACCGTATGTGCAGTCCGAGTCCGAATTCACATCAAAAAAACAAACACGACGTTGTCTTGCACAGTTTATCAACTTAGACACAAGTCTCAAAGGCGAGAAAAAGGCAGATGCAGTTGAAGGCAAATACCAAGGAGGAACAAAAAATGATTACGTAGTGAGTAAGAAGAAGGAGGAAGCTAGCAGTAATATATACAGGCAGGAATACAATGAGGGATCCGACAACGATATAAAATATGGGCCAAGTAAGGACATAACCACATCGTTAAAATCGCTCTTTTTAAACAGAAAAAAGAATAAAGGAGAAATAAATAAAACAAACAACCTTTCAAAAAATATAGAGCACACAGCAGAATTTATTGAAAAACAGAACCCTATTGATAAGGCACTCGTTCCTCATATTCTGGCTGACCAAGTGTTTATAATAACGAAAAACAATATCACATCGATCGATATTGAAGGGAATAGATTAGACAAATTTAAGTACGAAAATATTTTGATATATGATTCTTTTGAAAATTGTAAAGGGAATATCGTTGAGAAGGTCACGGTAAAAGAAATTTCGTCATTTCACATATTAACAGAAACATTTGTGATGAACAAATTAGGCATGTTTTCCATTTGCATTGAAATGGAACATCCACAATATGTAGCATTGTTAAAGGTTCAAAACAACTTAATTAAGCAGATCACACCATTAAGTGACGTAAGCACAATATCTGTTTTTAACTGCGCCGTGGGGACATCATCTATATTCATGCCTGAAGGCAGAAGAATGGGATTTGTAGAAAAAGTTGGGGAAAATTTATTACGAGGAAGCTATTCCTATAGTATATTGGCTAGAGCTTTATGGAAAGAAATAAAAATGGTGGCTTGCGCTTCCACCAAAAATTATGTTGTCTTTTTGGACATGAATTATATAATCGTTATCAATGCAAACCACTACTCTATACAAGAAGTTATTACGCATTTTTTGACCAAACCGGTTGGTATATTTCTAGACAACTACATTATTTATGTCACAGACGCGGACAGGAAGAATGTGTTTAGATATAGTTCGGAGTATATACTGCAGGATACCGCCCGTACGTTGGTTTTTCTGGACGGGAGTGGTAAAGTGGAGCAAGCGCAAGGGGAAAAAGGGGTGGAAACCCCATCATCACCCTATCACACTGTGGGAAAAACAAACGGTCGGCATACATATGCAAGAAGGAAAAAAAGGCACTATCTCTCCCCCCTTGGCAGGATCTTCCTGCAAGAAAATGAAAACGAACAAATAGACTATATAATGAATGGAGAAAACTACCTAATAACCCACTTGCGAGATTTGTACAATATACGGCGATACAAAAGAAACAAGGCAAAACTGAAGGGGCTGTTGTCTAACAGTGTGACATTGGTTTACCCAGCAGGAATTGTTGTGGATAGGGAGAAGGTATACTTTGTAGATACGGCACTACATACGCTATTCTGCTTCTCCTTAAAGGAAGATAAAATTGTCGAGACGTTTGGTTATCTAAACACTCCAGTCATGAGCGACAAGGGATTGAACAAACCTTTTTCCTTATCCCTATATCATGTGACTGCATGGAAAAGGAGCCTCCTATTTTTGAGCGAATTGTCCAGTTCTATAATCCTCATATTTGAAATAAAAAAATATATCAAATTGTACCTAACGTATGGTAACCTCCCCTTTGATATCGCCACCTCAATTGTCGTGACGCCACAATTTTTAATCGTCTGTGGATTAAAAAGGAGTAAAGAAAATTTTGTGAACTATGTCACATACATAAAAATTGAAGAACTGTGCGAGTTCGAAATTGAGTACAACGAACTCTCACACACCCTGCATTATGGACAAATGGTAAATATGACGCCTTTGAAAAAAAGCAGCAATATAAAAAAGTTTACCCTTAGACAGTACGAAAATAAAAGCAATGAAAATATCGACACAGGATTGTATATAAACAAACACAGTGGAATAATAAGTGGGAAGGTAAAGATCTCTGCATGGTTCCATATGGAAATAGAGGTTTACGATTACTTCAAGAAAATCACCTTAGGTTTTCAAAATTTTATCTCTTCATGTCCAAAGGGATTCTTTTTTCAGTCCAAAAAATGTGTCCCTTGTCCCATAGGACACTACACTTCATCTGTGCATAGACTACAATGCATAAGTTGTGAGACCTACAAAAAAAATTCAACCACCTCTTACGTTGGATCCATTTCCAGAAATGAGTGTTTATGTAAAGCTGGGTACTACTTCAACGACAAAAACAAAAAATCGTGCGTAAAATGCCCAGCAGGATATTATAAAGATCAAATTGGAGATTTCAAATGTCAATCTACATGTGAAAATATGAAAAGAAGTATTGTTCAAGGAGCAGCAAGTTATGAAGAATTAAACTGTGTGTGCAAAGATGGGTACTATACAGATGCTCAATCCAAATGTGTTCCATGCTATTTAAACTCCTATTGCATTTATAACCCAAATGTTCCTATTTACAAAGCGGATATTATTCCTTGTAAAGAATACATGGTAACTTTAAAAAGGGGATCTGCTTCCCCTAAAGAATGTATATGCTCCGTGGGCTATTACTACGATAATGAAGCAGACACGTGCAAGCCTTGTTCTTATGACACGTATAAAGCAAACCAAGGCAATGAATTGTGCACACCCTTTGTAACTAATCCAGGATCCACACAAGAATTTCTGCCCAATGAAAATTACTTGGAACATTCGAATGTGTTTTTAAAAGAAACATCAAATGTTATTATTTCCCCAAGGAAAGGTAACTCCTCTTTCCATAATGCCAAATTTTGTGAAACAGGATATTTCTACAGCACCAATAAGTCCATTTGTTCAATTTGTAGATACAACGGATATTGCAAAGGCCTGCAAAATGCAGTTAGTGTGTGTCCAAAAAATTCAGTCACCGTCAAGTTGAAGAGTGTTACGGCTTTAGACTGTTTATGCGAAAGGGGATATGGCAGAATAATCATTCACAAACACAAATCATTCAACATATTATGTGTCCCATGTCCGTACAATACATTCCAACCTCATCACTCTTCTGGTGAATGCATTCCTTGTCCTGCTAACACCTTTACCATTTCTGCAAAGTCCACTTCCATCACGGACTGCTTGCCGCAAAATGGCTACTACAACATGTACTTTCAGTACATATACGAGCATGCAAGGGAACGACTCGTGCAAAATGTGCCTCTCTTTTTGCATCAATACCGTCGCTACCTGAGCGATCAGTACAGGAATGGTAGGGATGCACATCAACGGACAAGGAAGCCAAGAGCGAATTGCAATAGGGAACATATGCGTGGAATAATTCATGAGGACAGTCCTCTATCACTACATCATCTCACTCCCAACTTAATGGAGGGGGAAAATACCCATAGGAATCACAACGAAAATCAACACAATGCCCAGTGGAAATGGCGCGATAAATATGATGCCACAAGTGGGTACGAAAAAGACCTCCCTAAAGTTAGGATGCCCAAAATATGTAACAATATACGGAACTTGAAAGGAACGTACAGCAACGCGTTTTACACAAATTACCTCAAAAATGTGATTCTCATGGATAGTTCAAACATGGCCCGTTTTATTCAGCAAGAGGGATCCATATTTTCGCTAGCTGACACACCAATAGGGAAAAACAACCATGGGGGAATTCCTAAGGATCAGCGTGAACCGCCTCAGGGTAGAGCTGTCCCCCCTCGTCAGGAAGATACCAAAGTGGCACCTTCAAAAAGAGAAAGTGTACTAATGTATGATGGAAAAGAACACCCGCCTGGAGTACCCAGCGCAGAAGAAGCGGCGTCAGGGACACCAAGTGATAGCAATTCAGATTTACAGGGAACACTTCTATTATCAGAAGAGATGAAAAAGGTTGTACGCAAATTCAACTTCATAGCCCAGAAAAAAAAAGACCTACTGATGGAGATAAAGTCGAGGGAAGAGACCTACATAGAGAATAAGCGAAAGGACATATCGTACGAATGCTACGAAATGGACAGAGCAATAATTATACAAAAAAATGTGTACGTATCTACCATCCCCGAAATTGATCTCATAAGTTGTCTTAACACATGTATCTCAAACATATACTGCACAGGGATAGAAATGGATAGAACAATTGACCATGGAAAGACGGACTTATTTTTCTTCCTAAACAGAAGTCATGGGACAAAAGTGCTCCATTTTTTCAAATGCTATTTATATTTTTACGAGGAAATTGAATCATATTATAAAAAGGAAAATTTGAAAAAAATTGAAGATATACAACATTATGATGATACGGATAGGATAACCGGCTGCATTGTTCAAAAGAATGAAATGCTAAAATTGTGGAAGGTGTACAATTTTAATATATGTCCAAATAACTATTATTGTCCTCCAAAATCATTTAGGAAGAAAAAGTGTCCCTTAAATTCAGTTAAAAAAAACTTCGAAGGAACTATCAACGATTGTTTATGTTCCCCGGGGTACTCCTTGAAGAAAAATTTAAACCTGTGTGTACCATGTGAGAAGGGAACATACAAAGATTCTACATCGAATGGCAAATGCATCAAGTGTCCTCTAAACTTAACTACCTCTTCGGAATCTTCTAATTCCAAGTACGACTGCGTTTGCAGAGAAGGCTACTATTTTCACGGGCGCTTCGGTATGAAATTGATGGACTTAAAAATGGAGCAAGTCATGATTGAAAATATTAACAAAGTGAAAAACAATAAAACTTTATCTCTACCAAGTGGGCAAAACAAAGTGGAGGATCTTTTTTTTCAAGTAAAATCAACTGGAAGAAGGCAAAAATTTGCCAAAATGGTGCAAGCAGTTTTAGGGGAAAGTCAGCAGAGGAGGACAGGAAAAAGGGAACCTCAAAGGGGTGAAAATACAAGTGTGATTAAGAAGAACGAAGTGGTGTCAACAGTCAAGGAGAGAAGCTTCACCCAAACGGGAGATACACCGGTACACGTTTCACATACACCGCATGCAGTGCAAAAACATTACAATGCACTCTCCAATTTAGATTATCTTTCCAATAAATTTTATAACAACATAGACGGTTTTACCTACGGAACGTGCATTAAATGTCCAGATAAAATGTTTTGTCCAGGCTTTTGGTTTAAAAATTTCGAAAGGGAACTTCATCATCCCCCCATATTTTGCCCCAAGGGATCAACCGTACCTAAGACAACCTTAGAATCAACGGACGTGCACAAGTGCATATGCGGGAAAGGGTACAGCATAAATGTGAAAAATACGCACAACAGCAGAGGAAGCAGCGATGGAACAAGCGGAAGTAGCAGCGAAATGTGCGTAAAGTGTGAAGAGAGGTACTACAAAGACGTTGTGGATAATTCACCGTGCGCTGGGTTATGTATGGAATTTTCCACCTCCTTCCAAGGATCTATCAGCAAAAAACAATGCTTTTGTTCTAGGGGCAAATATATGATACATGAGTCGTCGCACGAAATGAAATGCGTAAATTGTTCCAAGGGGGCTTTATGCATTGGTGGCTTGAAGTACAAGTCGCTAAAGAATTTAATTCAAGACTCAAGCTACACCGACATCGAGATTAACGACCATGTTATTCCATTTCCCAAGAAGGGGTACTTTGCCACCTTTGAAATAAAACATGAAGATTTCGTGTGGTCCCCACTGAACTCCCTAAATCTACACATAAATAATTACGAAAAAGGTGATATCATAATTAAAAACAAAATCGCCAAACAGCTATTTGGACTAAGGATAAACCATCTTACTGTAGAGAGGAATGACCAGAATAATCATCCAAAGAACCACAAAATGGAGGTCAAACCAGGAAAAGAAATACGACTCGGTTACCCGTCCAGTAAAGAAAATATTTCACTAGTCGAAGTAGGCATAACGAACATCCTAGTTAATGAAAAATTGGAAAAGCTAAAATACAAAAATGCGTATTTAACTGTGGAGAGAATTCCAGATTTTCATTTGTGTCCAATTAGTACAAGATGTGTAGGGGGGGTGGACAATTTATGTGCCCATGGATCGGAAGGATACTTATGCAACAACTGTTCAAAGAACTATGACACGATTTATTTCAGATCCCAATGCTTTAAATGCAAAAAGACAAAAACGGAATTGATGGATCTGTTGGCTAGGAAAATATTGTTCTATATGATAATATTCTTTTTAATATATTTAAATTACTTCTGCTATGTAAAAAGGAACTTTGTATTTATGGGTATATTAAAAATATGGTATTTTTTCATCATTTGTTTTTTGCCCTATATCCACATAGTAGAGTCCAATCATAACTCGCTGCCAAACCATTTGTTCTACTTCCAGTTCTTTATCACTCTCCCTATGAGATTTCTGACTCATTATTTGAAGCTGAATTGCTTTGTGAACTCGTATAGCAACCAGCAGTATGTACACATATGGTACATCCAGAGGTACCTCAAGATCGCGGAGCCCATGATTGACTGCGCCGTATTGACTGGCGTATTTTTAACTATCTACTTGGTGTACACTCAGCTGAAGCGGAAGAAAATTAGTACCGTAGAGAGGGTCATTGCTAAGCAGATTAACAAAGTATACTCCAAGGGGTATTACCAGCACCGCTCCGACTTTTACTACCAGTACTACCAAAAACATGTTATTGACACCATTAATAATAAAAAGGGAAAGGAAGATTTGTGGTTGAAGAAGTGGGAAAATGCTTCCTTTGAGCATGAATATTCGTCCGGTGAGGAAGAGCCAAAGGGGCGGGAACAGACCAAAACAGATAACGCGGCTCGACGGAATAGCAGAACATTGGGTGGTAGGAGCGCCGACTTATCCACCTCCGAAGACTCGCTGCGCGGCAGGAAAACGATGAAGGAGGAAGTATGCTCTAGCAACGAAAATATGTACAATTTTGATGAAGAGTTCTTGCCTAAGGATGCATCAAATTATTATGTGAAGGAAAACATAGCAAAGGATAAATACTGGACGTACATGTGCGCACTTAATATCTACAATATTAGAGCCTGTGGATTATTCCGTTACATACACCCGTCTAGCATCAGCACGTTCAATAGAATAAAACGAATTCTCTCCGATTTGAAAGTCCTCTACATCATCGTCTTGTATATATATTTCCCATTTACTCTTATTAGCCTGTTAGAGCTGGTGTGGTGCCAACCAGTAAAATACAAGAATAAGGTACCCATCTTAATTCTCTATCACATGCCTTCCCAAGTTTGCAACTGGAGGAATAAATTATTTGCAACAGGAGTGATATTTTCTTCCGTCTTCTTCGTCATATATTTACTTTTATTTATGTTTTCGTTGTATGGCACCTTGAAGCATTTTAAAATATTTGGCTCGTATACAAAGCGAGTGCGAAGTTACTTCCTGTTCAATGGTTACAACTACCAGAACCGGTGTTGGGACCTCATCAATGTGGTCAAGGTGATGTTGGTGGCAGTTGCCTTCACTTGTCAATTGTACACCAAGAGAATTCATAACGCTAAATATTTTATATGTTGCTGCATCGTGTTTATCCTCATTACAGAAGTTACTCTCATTTTAATGTATTCCCCTTACGACAAAAGGTCAAATAACATTTTACGCAACTTAAGTTTGTTGTCCACCTTTTCCATATTGATAACATATCTAAGTGTCCAGTTCAGCTTTTTTTTTAATTTTCCCATGACGAACGCTTTGCCGTTCGTTTTATTTGTCTACTTTCACCTTTACATGGGTAACAAAATTATACTCGAATTTGCCATTTACAAGAATATTTTTAAGAGGAAGGAGCAGAAAGAGGATCAACCAGACGTAGGGCGAGAGGCAGAGGGTTTGCTGAATGAACAGTCCTTCTTCAATTTTGCAAAAGAGGAGAATAACCAGAATGGTGTCGACACAGACCTCTATACAAATGATAGGAACACAAGTAGAGCACACAACTCTTCCAACGAAAGGGGACAGAAGAGGAGGGAAAAAAAAACTTATTCCTTTTTCTCCTTCCCTTACCCATCTGTGTTGAAGAACTGCAACCTGTATGACTTCCTCCTACGCGTCAATAACATCCCGTTTTATTCCATCCTCTTCAACGAAAAGGGCGAGGAATTTTTCATATTTGAAAAGGGGTCCACCAAATGTAAGTACGAAGAAATAGTAAAAAAGGTAAAAATGAACACCACGGAGAGGTCTCAAACGGAAGTAATAAGCCTAGATTTGCTACACTTAGATTTACTTTACTACAACATTAGAGACCCCTCCAGACAACCCCTGTCCAATATCAACTGTGTAAACCTCAACAAGCCGAGAACAAACTGGTCTAAACTTATGGGTGAAAGAAAATTATCCAACAAGTATGAAAAATTTTTGAATAGTGAAAAAGAGTACTCCAAGGATAAGGACAACTACCTACATGGTGACGTAGATAGAGAAAATTCAAGACAAGCCATCCCTCCAATTAATATAACTCATTTTATCAATTGCCTAATTGAAGCCATCAACATTTTGTTCGTTAATCAGTCATACAACCAAATAAATGTAGAATGGATCAGCTTCGTTACGAGATTTTCTATCTGCTTCATACATTGGATGAAGAACCACGATGAAAATTTAGTAAACCTCGTCCCGATCAATAAGAAGCAATTCGAAATGAAAAAAAGAAATCTCTTATTCTATTCCCTATTTAGTTCCTACGCAGAAGTTTATTCTTTGTACTCCATCATTGGAGACAAGAACAAATTTGAGGAATGCAAAAAGAATTTTGTACAAGCGGAAAATCTGAAACAATTTTACATCTACCTCAATGAAGCAAGCAAGAAAAACCCTGCACAAGAACCCGTTTATAGCCAAAGTGATGATGAAGAAAAATCCGATTGTTACACTCCTCTGAATTTTCTAGATGATGAATTTTACAGATGTGAACAAGATATCATTAAATTACTTTTTGATGAAAATATTTTTAAAAACTTGTCCATTTCCATTGTGGAATTTTTCTTCTCAATTTATATGATTCAATTTATCGAAAGTAAGCGTCTCTCTGTTTTAATTTTCCTCTTCTGCGAAAAGAAAAACTATTTAAGCAGGGAAAAGCAATTCCTAAAAATAATAGAAGCCAGAAAAAAGGATATACAACATATTATGTACTCGAAGAGCAAGAAGCACATGTACGATTTCGTGGAAAACAACTATCTGAATGAGTACAATCGGGATTTAAAAAAGAAAATCAAAAAATTACAAAACGTAATTAGAAAAAAGGAAAAGTCCTCTCTCAAACGAGAAAAGGTGAAAAGCGTCACAAGTGTGCAGGGAAATAAGGCGAACAAAATGAGCAACGCAAACGCGTACTTTGTCCAGACTTTGAAGAAGCTCCTCGACGATTCTTCCGTCACCACGCGGCGGCATACGGGGGATGCAAAAGGAAAAAGGAACGAAAGGACGCCCCAGTAAATGTGACCACTTTATCGAATGTTGTATGAAATACATAAGCCCCTCCCAAAATAAAGGAAAATAAAATGCAGCAAAATAGGTTAAAATGGCATGAACCTACGTTCGCATCGCTCCACCCCTTTCCGCGAGCACCAAATGGACCTCATTGGCCGAATAATCCCGCCCCTCTCCCATTTTTATGCAAGCACACCTGCATGGCTGGGGATTTTTTCAGAGGCTGCAACGGCTTCTACCTATTTGCCTACCCTAGCGTATTCCCTTCTGAGGACATAAACTCTGTACATATGATACTTTTATACTTTATTGCTAACATAAAGTGTGTTGCTCCTTTCGTGTTCCGAGATTCACACAACGCATACACGTATGGAGTATAAGATCATGTTCGCAAAAAAAAAAATCCTAGGTTGGCCTTTTTTCAAAACATACAAAGCGCACAATTACGAGGGGTGTTACAAAACATGCATATGGCCCCTCACACTGTAGATGCGTTTCCCAAAAAGGCACGAGACTACAAACACTTGCTTTATGTGCACACTGTGTTTGTAAAAGTGTAGATCTAAACCTGCATGGTAACAAAATCTTTAAGCGTGAAAACGCCAAATGTTTGAACAAAAGAAACATACACTTGAGATGTTTTCTCCCTCCCGCTGCAGCACATTTGTAAAAATGTATCATTCATTCTTTCAGCTTGGAAAAGCCACGAACAAGGGGTAACGATGCCATAGGCACTGTTTAAAATGAAAAAAAAAATAAAATGAAATAAAATAACCGCTTTTTATTAACGCAATTATGCAGTGTGCCAAACAGAACAGCGGTTCGGTTACGAAGGAAAGGTTAAAATTTTTGTGATAACTTTAGATCGTGCTTTTTCCTCATTTATCAGCGATGAATTGAGGCAGGAAAAAAAAAAAAAAAAAAAAAAAAAAAAAAAAAAAAAAAAAAAAAAAAAAAAAAAAAAAAAAAAAAAAAAAAAAAAAAAAAAAAAAAAAAAAAAAAAAAAAAATTTTCCTTCCACATTAAGCTAACAATTTGTTCAATTTTTTAAAAAAAAAAAAAAAAAAAAAAAAAAAAAAGAAACATAAACACAAGCATAAACAGATAACAAGCAAAATATGTAAACGAATGTACACAGAACATTTAACCATTTATGCGCTCGTACGGGATGTACAAAAGTTCTTTCACATGTAGCACGCGATAATCACCCCTGCGTTCAGCGCGCCAGTATTGCCAAGGAGTGAAATAGCCCAGTTTGAAAGTAAAGGTTGCGGAAACATCGCAGCGAAGGGTGCCAAGCAAAGAGAACAAAACGTTTAGAGCACACGCCACGTAAATGACACCTATATGTACAATTCCACAACTGTGAGAAAACCAAAATGAGGAGAAATATACTTCGACAATTTTGCCTTAGCAGAAAAAATGCCAAAATATTGGATGTACACAGAAGGCAATTCTTTTGCAAGCCTCTGTTAAATAATGGAATGACATACCGGTGCAGTGTGTTGCTTAGAGGTTGTAACAATTGGCTTGCAAAAACTGAAGGGAAAGCAGCATCTTTTTTCTCAACAGAGAAAGATAATTTGAGCTCATTCACCAAAGAACAGATTGAGGAAAAGGTGTTGACCGTGCTAAAAAAGTATATACCCCCCAATGTAGAAGTTAATTATACTGAAGAATTGGAAAAATGTAAAACGAAGGATAATAGAGATTGGGACTTCCTGGACACCGTCGAGTTTTTAATAGACGTAATTTTGCATCGTCCGTGCACGTGTGTATATATCGTGCCTTCCTGACAAGAGCCATGGAAAATGTTTCATTTGTCAACTGTGAAAATGTGATTACATCTTCTGTGTAGTGTAAACGAGACGAGGGCAATCTGTTTTGCACTCGTCATTAGTACACACACGTGTGCATACTTATAAATACGTGTATCACTTCCCAAACCACCACCGCCTATAGATTGAATCTGAGTTTAACATCACCATACCGGACGAAACAGCGGACAATATAAAAACTGTTCAAGAAGTAATCGATTATTTGGTTCAGCTGAACATTAAGAAGACATAAACTTCACACTTTTAATTCATCCTTTGTTGCATTATGTTGTGTACTTTTTTCCCAACCCAGTTTTAACAACCATTGTGAATATATGATAACTACTTTATGAATAAAGGCCAAGCGCGAGGATAGTTCTTCTTCCTTTACACATAACGGTGTAGCTGCTCAACCTTCCAAGTGGATGTGTTACCCTATGTCACGAGTTCATATTTACACAGGGGCGCCATTTCCCCCGTTTCGCAACAAATTTGGGTTACTTAAAAAGAAAAAACAAAAAGGAGAACAGGACATGGGATAATTTCCCCTTCGTCTTCCTTATCGTCTACATTTTTGCCACTTTTTTTTTTTTTTTATATATATAATATACTTAGAAATATTTCACCCGCCTTTGTAAGGCACGTTCTTATCCTTTGCGATATTTAAATTAGATGTAATCCTTAAAAAAGAAAGCAAAAAAAAAAAAAAAAAAAAAAAAAAAAAA